TGTGGGCCCAGCAGTGCCAGAGCACTCAGTTTTGTTTTGTTTTTTTATAAATTTATTTATTTTACTTATTTTTGGTTGAGTTGGGTCTTCGTTGCTGCGCGTGGGCCTTCTCTGGTTGCGGCGAGCAGGCTTCTCATTGCGGTAGCTTCTCCTGTTGCGGAGCACGGGCTCTAGGTGCGCCGGCTTCAGTAGTTGTGGCTCTCAGGCTCAGTAGTTGTGGCTCACGGGCTCTAGAGCACAGGCTCAGTAGTTGTGGCTCACAGGCTTAGTTGCTCTGCGGCATGTGGGATCTTCCTGGACCAGGGCTTGAACCCGTGTCCCCTGCATTGGCAGGCAGATTCCCAACCACTGCACCACCAGGGAAGTCCCACTCAGTTTTTTAAAAGGAGCCAGGAAATTGGATTTTCTTTGTGAAATCTCCCAGTTTGTATATTTTGGCTTAAAAATGTTTATAACCCGGGGCTTGCCTTGTGGTCCAGTGGCTAAGACTCCGTGCTTCCACCGCAGGGGGCGCAGGTTCGATCCCTGATCGGGGAACTAAGGTACCATGTGTTGCATGGCGCAGCAAAAAAAAAAAAAAGTTTGTAACCCCATGCAGGCCAAAGAGCACATCTAGCCCAGACACTGCCACCCATGACCCTTGCTCTGGTTAGTTGATGATTCTGTCCTTGTCACCCTTGACTTTTTTCCCTCCTGGATAAATGTACCCCAAAGATGTGATTTCCTACACCCCTCCCCTCCCAACCACCTCTTCTGGGCCCCTTTAATCTGTATGCTTGTTAGTCTGACATCTCGTTTTACAAGTAATGGGAACTGGTCTAGTGCTGTTCACCCTATCATGTGCTATTTCTGTCTGTTAAACACCTTAACCATCCCTCTTGTTTGCGTTATTAATATATCTGCTAAATGAGGAGTGTGAAGGTAAATATCACTCTTGCCCCATGAGTGTAGGGCACACAGGTTTGCTTTTCCTGGAGCCTGTCTGCAGCCAGAGCCCACGAAGCCTTGTTCCTAGAAGTACGGCAAGGAACTCTGCCTGCTTTCTCTCTGGGCCATGGCTGCAGACACCACATGCAGGACCCCAGCTCCCCAGTGCCTTGCCTGCAGAGGACAGATCTGTGGTGTGGCCCAGAGCTCAGGACCTGTGAGCCTCCTTGAGGTGGACCCTCCTGCCTGCCATGGCCTGCGAGGCCTTCTTGCCCTAATTTCCCTTCCTGTCTGTCTCTGCCTAAGCGGCAGGAGCCTGCAGCTTTATATACGCTGGGCAGTTGGTGACTCATTCCTCGGCAGCGCCTCAGATAGGGAAGTGAAACGGCTGCACCTGGTGAGGCCTGACCTTCGGGTGACAGCGGAAGTAGCTATGCAAACATGGGGCTCGCTGCCTCGGAGGGAGAAGTCCTCTCCACAGCCAGGCTGTGAGGAAAGCTCTTGCTGGCCTGGCCCCGTGTGGCCTCCAGGCCGGTGGCTCTGGTAAGTTTCTCTTTCCTTCTCCACCCCCACTCCACTTTTTCTTGGTGACAGCTGGAAGTAGCAGTGGTCACAACTGAGAGAGCCAAACATTTCTACAGTCCCCAGGATGTTCCTGTCACCCTCTACAGCGACGCTGATGAATGGGAGGTCAGTGCTGGGGGCCCCAGGGCTGAGTTCCATCGTGTTTGTACCAGTAGGACAGGACCATCCTCCCTGCAGCCTATGGTGCTGGTGGCCGGAGCAGACAGGCCAGGCTCAAGTCAGCGGTCAGGGCTCTCTGGGCAGAGGCCATGAGGAAAACATCTGTCTAGCTCTGGCCTGCAGGAGGCCCACAGTCTCCTCCCATTTCAGGCAGACCTCAGCTTTGGCCCTGTGCCTGATGTTGAGTGTCCTTGTATTTATCTGGGCTGATGAAACCACAGAGGAGCTCTGTTCCCACCACCCTTGTCCACGCGGCTCCCAGCGTCAGGGCTGTGGAGGGTGCCTCACTTCCCACGGCTGCCGGGCTCTGCTTTTGCTCTCCTGCAGAGGGGCGGGCACTGGCCGATTCACTAGACATCGAGTGTGGGCCTCACAGGGGTGCCCTGCCAGGCATTTTTAAACATTCTCAGCCTAGAACATTTCTGGCTGGCCTGTCTTCCTCACCCCGCCCCCTCCATTTCTCACCGCCCAGAGCCTTTCCACTGGCTTGGACAACCCAAGCATCCGCCTCAAGCAGACAGGCCAGGAGTTCCCTGCCAGATGTCAGTTCTCTTGAAAACCAAACCATAAAGGGAATAGCTCAGAGAGACAAGGGACGTTTGTTTCCTCAGGGCTGGTTTCTCTCAGGCTGTTGGCTCCACAGCCAATGTTCACCAGCTTAGCTGCAAGAGGGGTGGCAGTGAACTTGGGCGGGGGTCTCTCAGCTGGTCTCCCTTGGGTTCCTGACTTAGTGTACCTGGTCTGTGTTGGCTCTCACCCCACCTGCCGCTCCTCCCTCCACACTGAGAGAATGGCCGGCCCGGTGACCCCACTTCCTTCCCTCTGCCAGATGTGGAAGTGCCGATCCGACCCAGTTCTCCACATTGACCTGCGGAGGTGGGCAGACCTCATGCTGGTATCTCCTCTCGATGCCAACACGCTGGGAAAGGTGGCCAGTGGCATCTGTGACAACTTGCTTGTGAGTGACTCCCTGGGCCCTCCTCCCTCCCTGGGCCTCACTCCCAGTTTGCTGAGCTGCAGACTGCTTCTGTTCTCACCTTGGAATCCCTTTATGGTGGGCCTGTTTGCTCGGAACACAGTCCCCTGGACAACCCTCCACCTGGCCTCACCTGTGCTCCAGCAAGTGGGTAGAAGGCCTGGTCCTGATGGGTTGACTCGACTTGCAGGTGCCCTCTGAGGGTGTCCCCCTCTCACCTGCCCCCCGATGCTCAGCTACTCTTTCTTTGTCCATAGTTCATGGGCTGCCCTCAACATGCTCTTCTGCTGGTCTCCCTGCCCAGCCCTGTTGCCTGCCCACCTTAGCTCTGCCTTCCCACCAGGACCTGGACCATGGGTAATCGGATAAGAGCGTTTACTTCTGCATGGATCTCTCAGGCACACTTATCTCTCCTGTAGCTTTAGCCACAAAGCTGAGATGTGGTTTTCCTGTATATTATGGAAAGCGTAAAGGGGAAGAAAGGAGAAAGGACGAGAGGCCCAAGGTGGAGGAGAGGAAGAGAAGTCCAGCTGTACAGAGTGGGGATTGTCTTAGGCCTGAGGGACCTCCAGGGAGCTGTTGTCCTTAAAGAGCCTTTGTTTACATGATCATCCTGGGAAGACTAGGTGTGATCCCCCTCCCTCTCCCTTATCATCCCTCTTCCCTCGGGCATTGAGCTTTAACTTGCCATGTGTCAGGCCCTGTGTGGAGGGACACAGAGGACACAGGGAGCTGACAGTGTGGAAGGAGAGGGTTTTTAGAGTGTGCTCTGGTGTGTGGTACAGTCAGTCCTTTGACAATGGTGTCACCACCTTGCACAGTACTGGGTATGTAGTAGGCATTCAGGAAATGCTTATTGTATGTATGAGGCACTCAGTAATTTTACTTTGGCTAACAGCCAAAGTAAATGAAGTGACTAACGAAGCTGGGTCAAGGTTTTGGGGGTTAGAGAGGAGGTTAGTCTCCTCATATGCTTGTTGATTGGTGCTTAAGGTACTTCTTAAAGAAGCTGCTAGTGATTTAAGCATCATTTGAAATAGAGCACAGGTGATCAGAAGAAGAGCCACACACAGATTGTGTGGCAGGCGCAGGGGTGGGGGAGTGCAGAGGAGGGCAGGCCTAGGAGCAGTGTTATCAAGAAGGCTTCCTGGTGGAGCTAGTGCCTGGCTGACAGGACGGTGGAGCAGGTCAGGCTCCTGGCCACTTTCATCTAAGTGCGTCAGCATTGTGTGTAACCAGCACCATCTCACCAAATCTCCAGGCTTCCCACTGGTCGGTCAGTAGCCAGCTGATGCGACAAAGCACGCCGACCTCTAGGAGCTAAGCCCCGGCCTGGGCCAATTCTCTGAGGGCTCCTTCCTTACTCCTGAAAGCTCTGCTTCCCTCTTTTCTTCAAAGCTGCCACCACTCCCTGAAATCTTTGGGCTTCCCTCCTACTGAGTTGGCTGAGCAGTGGAATATGTTCCCAGGACCAGCCCTGAGGCCCTTTGCCTCAAAGGTTTCCCTTGAAGGTGCAAGTATTTCAAAGAACTGCAAATCTTACACTGCTGTCATCATGGTCTGTGGCTCTGTGCTCTCTCAAAAGATGTTTTGTCCTTATATTCCCCCAAAGAAGCTTGCCCTGCTTCCTCCCTCCTTCAGATCATCTCCCTTTCCAGTGTCCAGAACTTGGGGTGCCATTAGAGCAGTGCGCTAGGTATGAACCTGTGTTCCCAGTCTCAGGGCCCTTGGCCTGGGTGATGTGCATCTCTGTCTGCCCTCTGGCCCACTCAGGCTCTAGCCCTTCTTTGTGCTAAATAACCAAGCAGATCCAGAAAGAGGAGGTGACTTCCCTGGGTCACCAGTATAGCTGGCAGCTGGTCTCCTGACCCGGATCCAAGCCTTCTCTCCACCCAAGCGGATTCCCAGGGGCAGAGCCTGAGGTGCTGCACACAGCATTGGCCAAACAGAAGTGACTGTGGGAACTGATGCCTCCTTTCAGCCCTCTTGCTGCTGGAAGGTTTGGAGGAGCTGTGGTTTGTCCAGGAAGTGCTGAGTTTTGAGATGAGGTGGGAAAAGCTAGAGAGGTGTGGGGCATGGAGATGTTGAGTTTCTGCTCTGGTTGGTGTGCTTTCCTTTGAGGTCATTGAGAACCCCAGCCCTGCCAACACCCACCCCACACGCAGTCAAGGGACTCTTCTAGGTATGCTCATGACTTCTGCAGAAGCAGCAGGTGGCACAGGGCCAAGAGGAAGTGTGGACTGAAACTGTCCACTCATAGCCAGGTTGCCACATTGTGAGGACTTGGTGGGAAACAAACGCTGTGTCTGGGATGACGCAAGCCCCCAAATCCTGAGGCTGTGTGCTGACCAACTTCCTTCCTGTCCCCAGGAGAGGGCAGGGGCACTGAGGAGGGCAGGCATTTTCCCTGGCCTGTTCGTGGCATTGTTCTCTGGACTCCCCCTCTTTTTGCAGACAGGCCCCACTTCAGGGAAGGGGTGTGCCAGCCGCTGTCTCCCTGAGGGGCCCACAGCCTAGGCGGAGGCGCCTGAAGCAGTCAGAGCCCAGGGGAGCACACTCCTGCGGGCCCCAGAGCTTATTTCTCCCTGAGGCAGCCCCTGGCCCAGGGAGCCTATGCCTGTAATAATAGCAGGAGCTACTATTTCTGGAGCCTGTACTTTGTGCCAGGCCTTGTGCAGAGAGCTTTATAAGTATTCTCACCCTCTGCCCTCAAGACCACCCAGTGAGAGGGCTTCTGCAGAGAGGAAGCTGATACTCCCGGCATGAAAGAACTTGTTCAAGTTCTCGTGGCTAGTAACAGCAGATAGCACAGCAAGATTTGAACCCAGGTCCATGTGATTGCAAAGCTCACAGCGCTAAAGGCTCTATGAGCTGGTCTGTCCCGTTCACAGCTGCTCTGGTATGTGACTTGGTGGGATGGCCCGGACATCAGGAGGTAGTGAGGTTGCACGATGCAGTGGAGGATGGCATGGGCGGTGTGCAAAGCCTTGCCCTGGATCCTCGTCTGGTGTGTCCTTGAGTAATGGCTCACCTCTGGGAAGTATAGCTTCCCCTCCGTGAAATGGGACAGCAGCTTCTTTACAGGGTCGCAGTGAGGGTTCATGAGATAACACATGGGAGAGGGTTTTGTCATGTGGAAGATGTTGTTTTCATGGCCAAGCTTTAGTTGGCCTCAAGTAGAGCTGGTGTCAGGATAGATGAGCCCACCTGCTGGGCAGTCTGGTCCTTAGCTTTGTGGGAACCGCAGGCCTGCCCCCTGCTTCCCTGGGTTGCTTCAGTCTGTGAGGTGTGGCTGACTGTGAGGAAGACAGAGGCTTGGGCAGAGGGAGCCCTTTCTGCACAGAAAGGGAGGTCTGCTTGGAGGTGGCTAGGCCGTTGCTAGCATTGGTAGAGCACCTCCTGTGTGTAGGGCCCTGTGACAGAGCCTATGGGGAAGTGAGAGGGACCAGGAGACACAGCCCCACCCTCAAAGTATGAGACAGCTCCCTTCAGACAGTGGCTCCCAGTCATCCCAAGTCCTCAGCTGGCTGTGGCCCAGAAGCAGAGGGTAGGATTTGGGAAGGCCGGGGAGGGGTGGCAGGCAGAGCAGCAGGCACCCCCCCACCTTTTTCACAGACCTGTGTCATCCGGGCCTGGGACCGCAGCAAGCCCCTGCTCTTCTGCCCGGCGATGAACACCGCCATGTGGGAGCACCCCATCACCGAGCAGCAGGTGGGCCAGCTTAAGGCCTTCGGCTATGTCGAGATCCCCTGTGTGGCCAAGAAGCTGGTCTGTGGAGACCAAGGTGGGTGTCTGGCCAGGCTCACAGCTCATTCCCACAGCCTGGGGCCACGGCAGGGCTCAGCTTCAGATCCTAGCCTGTTGTGACCTCCAGCTCAGCTTTCTCATCTGGGAAATGGAAATGGTAATTCCTGTTTCTCAGAGTTGTTAGGTAAACTGCCTGGTATCCTCCCTGGCATGCAGCCCATACAGTTCAAGATGGCTGCTGTAACTATTCCTGGGGCCTGTCCTGGGGGTGTCTCAGTAGGGACTTGCTGGGTCTGGCTCAGGCCTGGTCCTGGCCTTCTCAGGCACTGGGCTCTCGGTGGGACACTCGGGGAGCAGTGGGTGAGGGTGGGTGGGATCGGTCCCCTGCTTCAGTCTGCAGGGTCATAGCCGAACTCTGCTCCCTAGGTCTGGGGGCCATGGCTGAGGTGGGCACCATTGTGGACAAAGTGAAAGAAGTCCTCTCCCAGCACGGTGGCTTCCAGCAGAATTGAACCCAGGGATTTCTGTCACGCATGTCCCTCTGAACTCAGGTGTTTTCAGGCCAAGTTGGTGAAGAAGGTGGACTTTGGCAAAATATGGTGAAGACTTCCGCATTTGCTGAGTAGTGGTCTGGCCTGGGCCTGCTCGGGAGCCTCCCCAGGAGCCTGACCTGCCCCAGGTTAAACTAGACCAAAGGCCCAGGTCCCAACTTCTTTCAACCAAGAGACACCTGCTTTCTGGAGTTCCTCCCCACCTTTTCCTGGGATGGGCACAGCAAGCCAGGGGAGCAAGCTGCTGTATTGTTCCTGTGCTCTGGGAAGGGGACTTAGGAATGACCGAGAGACCTTCATCCAACGTTGTGCCCAGGAACTGCTTTTAGAAAGAGCCACAGCTGGAGATCCCCAGACCTTTGGAGCTTCAGCTTCTTGGTGGGGTACAAGGAAGACTGCGAGTTGGCAAGGCCCTGAGATTTCCCACAGACTATGCTGTGAGATTGGGGGTACTGAGAATAAAGAAAAGTGACTCTTTGGGAGACTCTGTCCTTCCTTTAGAGCCTTTCTGTGGTCTTAGAGATCTGGGGCCGGGGAAGGGTCTAGGCTGGCAACTGACTGACTCTCCTTAGTTCCTATATCATATGGCAGGTAAGGGCAAAGTGTTCAGAAGCCAGACAGTCCCTAGTTCAAATCTAGCTCTGCCGCATACTAGCAGTGGGACTAGGGCTCAGGGCTCAGCCTTTCTGACCTTCACTTTCCTCGTGGAGTTGTTGAGAGGATTAAATGAGATAATGTATGCAAAATGCCTACCCTACTACCTCTCACATAGTAAATGTCAAATAAAATGGAAGTTAAAGCTAGATATGTATTCATATCAGTGAGCTTTTCTAACGTTTACTGAAATAGTCTGTCTCATTTTGGGAAAAATAAAATCCCTGACCCTAGGCTGACATGCACTTTATACAAGTGACAGGCACACGGCCAGCAGGGTTGGAACCTGACCTGGAACCCAGGCCCCTTGCTTCCTGGTGTCCTCCTCTTCAGCTTTTCTGTGCCTGAGATGGGGACCTCGGTGTCTGTGCCTCCCCCTGCCCCCACAGTGGCACACATGGATGGGGGAAGTAGACTCCAGAGAGACACATGTTCTGCCCTAGAAACCCTCCGCTACCCTGCCTTTGACCTACTGCTGTTCGATGGCTGCTGTGGGTTGGGGCTTGTTTGACTGTTTGGAGCTGAGGTTGGGGCTGCCTTCCTGCCCTCTTGCCTTCCAGGCCGGGGTGAGTGGGTACCCCTTGCATGCCCTCGGACCACTGGGGAATAGAGGCGCCTTAGAAGGGCCCAGGAAGCCTGCTGGCTGGAACCAAGCCTCCAGCAGCCTCTAAGAGCCTTTATCTCTATAACACTTGACTTAATCAAGTGATCCTTTGGGATAAAATTGTCTTAGGGCACTAAAGAAAATATAACTAAAATGGTAGCATCAAGAACCAACTTCTTTGGCTGGTTTGGGGGTCGGGTGTGGTGAGGGCCTGGACAACTGAAATCCAGAGGCAATCCCAAAGTTCCGTTTAAGTGTTTTCCAACTTCCCTCCTTCTGTCCACATCGCCCTTCCTTTCCCTCAGCAACCTCCTTATGAATGGTGAGGCTTCCAGTTTTAATAGAAACTGCTGCTGAGTGCTTGCTGTGTGCGAGGCTCTGTGCTGGGCACTTTAGTGAGGACAGTTGCTCAGGAGACCTGCTACAAAATGCCTGTTTTAAAAAGTCACAGGAGCAGAGAAGTTCGTGGGCCTGTCTGTGGCTGCTTATAGTGGGACTGAGCCTTGTTGGCTAGAAGGAAAGAGATGTCCCCATGGACATGGGCCAGCTGGGGTCCACCACTCCATCACGGCATTCCCACATCCTGTTGCCCATTCTGAATGAGGGTCTGGATGAATGGGCGGGGACTGAAGAGCCCAGCTATTTCCTGAGCCAGGCTGAAGCTGAGGAGAGGGCAGCTAGTGTCTGAGCTGCATTTACCTGGCCCCATCTGCCAGCGGGGTGCTGAGGTGGGAGTGATAACCACTGATAACAGTAAAAATCAGAGCTCTTGTAGTTGTCATCATCTTGGGTAGAAATGTTTCTCAGAGAAGGTGCTAGCTTCCCTGATGATTTTTATAGAATTCTGGAAGTTTGACAGAGCAGAACATTTGGGTCTGAAATTCTCAGTCTTGTTTGGCAGCCTGGAGCCTCTAGGCTGCCGTGGCTGCTGCTGGGCAAGAGGCGGAAGCCTTAGAGCCAGGGCCCAGCCTCCACACTGGATGGTCTCCAGCTCTTCCTCCACACGGCTGATGTGTCCCCCTGCCACCTCCCCACTGCCTCAGGGTAAGGCCCTCACTTCGGGGCAGTTTCCTCTTGGACCTCCGTAATCTGGCCCCTGTCTACTTTCCTAGCTCCACCCCTTACCACACACCAACCCTGCAGGGCTCCTTGTCCTCTTGCCGGACTGGACAACTTTGACCGAGCCCTGTTGCTTCTTGCCTTTGCACATGCTGCCGCTTTTACTGGAAGACCATTCTTCCCCTGGCTGCCTCCTACGCACGCCTCTGGATGTACCTGGGTGCCACTGCCTTTGGAAAGCCTTGCCTGGCCAACTCAGGCTGGATTAGGTGGTCCTAGCCCAGGCTCCCATTGTGCCCCCTCTTATTTATTATACCATGGAATTGCAATAGTCAGTTTATGTCTCCCTAAAACTGGGATCTCCTGGAGGGCAGGAGTTGTCCTGTTCCTCATAAAACCTGGCAAGTCATTCCAAGCTTTTTGTACTGACAGAATTTTTAAAAGCTTTGTGTGTGTGTGTGTGTGTGTGTGTGTGTGTGTGTGTGTGTGTATTTGGGGGGTTGGGGAGTGTCTTGCTCGTTTCTGAGCCAGGCACCCAACCTAGGAGCCATAAAAGCAAAGATTGATAAATTTGACTATAGAAAAATAAACAATTCCACCTAGCAACAGCCCAAAGGCAAGGTCAAAAGACAACAAACTGGGGAAATTATCTACAGGTCATATAACAAAGGGCTAAGTCCCTTAATATACAAAGAGTTCCTCTATATTGATTAGAAGAAGGCGAAGAACACAAGAGAAAAGTGAGCAGAGGATAAAAACAGTCCACGTAAACACACACACACACGACTATAAAAGCTATTCAGCCACATTCACGAGGAGAGTGGTGCAAATCAAACTACACTGAAATGAAAGTTTTCACATACTAGGTTGGTAAGGGTGTTAGGAAATCTCACCCTCGTACTTGGCTTGTCGGAGTGTAAAATGATACAACCTCTTTGGAGAACAATCAAAATTCCATATTCACCTTACCTTTTGGCCCAGCAATTCTACTTCTAGGGATTTGTCCCACAGATACACTCACATGTATGACATTAAGTCTGAACAAGGCTATTCTTTGCAGCATTGCATATGGTAGTAAAAGACTGGAAACACTCTCCCCATCTAACAACGGAAGGTTGGTTAAATAAATCAGGGTCATCCCTGCTCTGGAACACCACACAGCCACAAGACAAAGAGTGAGGAAATTCTCTAGGCCTGATACAGGATGATGTCTGAGATACATTGTTAAACAAAATGCGAGATGGAGAACAATGTGTATTGCATGTTAGCTTGTGTATTAATAAAATGAGGGGAGAAAAGGAGGATCTATTCGTATTGGCTTGTATTTGCTGGAATACTTACTGAAAAATAAATAAGAATCCAGTCCATTGTTTGACTCTCAGTGGGGGAACTGGGTGGTTGAGAAACAAAGGTGGGAGGCTGACTTCATTTTAAGTTTTGAGCCAGATGAATATATTATCCACCACAAAAGCCACAATTACGTACATTTTTTAAAGGGTTCCCTCTGCCCTTTATCCAAAAGTTCTTAAGAATGACTTGGCAGGGGCATCTGGAGATTTCCATCAAGGCCTTTGGAGTAGAAACGGTTTGTTTTTCTCGTCAGGAGCTCATAGAGGAAGATGACTTCTGAGTATCCTTGGGTGCTCCCTATAAGCCTTTGAGGTCTCTGATCTCAAGGAGCCTATGGTCTTATGGGAAGAAGACTCAAGGCTTTAAAACAATCAAGTGACAGAGAAAATAAAAAGTGAGACTGTGTGGCACAGACTCTGTGAGTGCCGTGATTCAGAATTGAGAAGAAGCCAGGGTGGGCCCTTTGGAGGGAGTGGCACTCAGGCTGGTGATCACTGGAGGGCCAGCGTAGTTAGAGTGCAGGCAAAGGTGGAGATGCACTGCCACGTGCTCGATGTGGGATACCTGGATGGGATCTTAGACTCCATGTGCTGAAGTCGGAGCTGTACAGCAGGGGAGCCACATGGTGAGTATGGAGTGCAGTAAAGATCAGCTGCGTGGTACGTGCAGAACAGATGGGAGACTTGAGAAGCTGGAGTCAGGGAGGAAGCCAGATGCTAAGTCAGGGAAGCCAGGCTGTGCTGAAGGCCTTGGCCACACCCATGGTTCTAGAAAGGGAGGGGATGCAAAAGTGAGTGATGACGTGAAGGAAAATACTAGAAAATGTAAAAGCCACAGTCCTGTAGCAAATGGGGGGAAGGAGATCTTAATGACAATTGTGTGCATGGTGGTGCAAGACTTATTAATGGTTCCCAGTCCCTCCCAGTAAAAAGAATTTTGATTTGCTTACCACAGTCTTCTTTCAGGATTGTTCAGCCTGCCCTCATGGTTCCCGGACATTTTGTGGTGTAGAATTTGAAAAAAAAAAGATTGAGATATTGAACTGAGAAGATGGGAGGAAAAGGGAAGGAATCTTACTTTTTGGGTTGGTCCCAGAGTCTCCTTTATTGTGACAAATTCTGGTAATGTGTAAAGGGAGAAAAAAAGTAAAGCATGGAGCATAGACTTGGTTAACTCCATCCTAAAGAGCTGAGAGGGGCCTGAGTGGAGGGATGGCAGCAGAGCCATGCAGGCTGGCCAGAAGTTGGGGTACATTCTGGGAATTGGCTTAACAGAGTCTCCAAGCTGCTAAGAG